TCGCTCTTGGGTTGGAGGCCATCGCTAGTAGGTTGGAGGCCATCGCTTCTAGGTTGGAGGCCCTCGCTCTTAGGTTGGAGGCCATCCCTCTTTGGTTGGAGGCCCTTGCTCTCAGGTTGAAGGCCATCACTCTCAGGTTGGAGGCCATCACTCTTAGGTTGGAGGCAAGCCATCACTCTTAGGTTGGAGGCAAGCCATCGCTCCTAGGTTGGAGGCCTTTGCTCTTAGGTTGGAGGCCATCGCTAGTAGGTTGGAGGCCATCGCTCTTAGGTTGGAGGCCATCACTCTTAGGTTGGAGGCCTTTGCTCTTAGGTTGGAGGCCATCACTCATAGGTTGGGGGCCTTTGCTCTTAGGTTGAAGGCAATCACTCATAGGTTGGAGGCAATCACTCTTAGGTTGGAGGCAATTGCTCTTAGGTTGAAGGCCATGCCTTAGGTTGGAGGCCATCGCTCTTGGGATGGAGGCCATCGCTATTAGGTTGGAGGACATCGCTCTTAGGTTGGAGGCCATCGCTCTTAGGTTGGAGGCCATCGCTCTTAGGCTGGAGGCCATCGCTCCTAGGTTGGAGGCCATCGCTATTAAGTTGGAGGCCATCGCTTAGGTTGGAAGCCATCGCTCTTGGGTTGGAGGACATCGCTCTTGGGTTGGAGGCCACTGCTTTTGGGTAGAGTTGAACTATTCAAGAAAGGGGGAACACTGGAGCACTGAGTGGACAGATTTGCATTGGAACTCAACTGTGGACGCCACTTGACGCTTTGAAGGCTCCAAGTGCCGTGTTTGGTCCTGGACTCTGATCAACCAAATGCTACTTTAGGACACTTCTGGACACCTCTTGCGAAAACTTTTGGCCTTTAGCTCAAGCCGGCTGCGGTAAAAGTCGCAGTAAACTCATGCACATGCAAGAGGCAAATGAAACAGCGCTACCAGTCTTATTCACACCCGTGACTCTGGTTTCGCTTGCTCTGTACATGGTCTCTCATGTTCATGTTCTGTACATGTTTCATTGTAGTCATTTCCGGCCCTCAGTTCTTCTTCTTCATGATTCTGTATTGCACTTTCCTTCTGTTCGCGCCTCAACTTTCTCCATTTCTGCTTTAACTTAATGGCCCTAATGTAACTGGTGTTCATGTCCTTGGTCAATGAGTCGACCAGCATGATGCTTGCGTAGATCCAACGGATCTCGTTGGGGTCGAAGAGCTGCTAGATCCGCTGACAATCTTTTGTCCGAAGTCTTTGCCAAAGTGGCCGAACAGACACGTTCTTGCAAGAACTTGCAGTCTGTCAGCCATAGGTGTCTCATGAATCATGAACCTTCGACTGGATTCCTCCCAATGTCTGAGGTCCAGTTTATTGTCAATAGCTCTGATCTTGAACCCTTCTTCCACTCCTGAAGTCACAGTAGGATTCTGCCTGCGGCGTGGATCTGCATACACGCTTTATCGTGGTAGATGACTCGATGACCATCCAATTGGGTAGATCTTCGCGACCATTTTGCTTGGGTCGTCGACGAATGTCTTGTTTAGCCATAGCGTCATTCTCGCTCTTTGAGATCTGTAGGGTTCAACCTTCCCCTTCACAATCTGCTGTTCATTTGACCATGAGGCATCACTGAATGTGCATAGAACACAGTCTTTCCATTTGATTGCTCCAGCCTTGAAACGCAGTCCATGCTGTGAGAATTCTTGCGCGTCCTTCACCACCGTGTTGCAGTGTAAGTCTTTGATGGCGGCCTTTCCGCACCCTGACTGTAGCTTGCTGACTCCCAAGCTTAGATCTGGCCTTGCCTGACGCGCAACCCACGACAAGGATCCGACTACGCTCCGTAGTTGCGCATTCTCTGCGTTGTTTGCCAAACCTGTCCTTTTCATGTCTGTTCTGTACTTCACTGGTTCGATCTTTTCTGCAGTTGTGGCGTAAGTGACCCCAATGTTCTTCTGTTCGGCTTGCTCGATTTCACATCCACAAAATTAGAAATTCTTCTCTGAAATCTTTGTCTTTTCTACATGAAATGCTTCCAAAATCTGTTCGATATATTGCTCATACCCTGACTTCTTTGCATAAAGCAAGTCATCGACGCGGCGTGCGACCATCACCTGGATGTCACCCTCTTCTTGGTGAACAATGCCTTAACTGCGAGTTCTGACGCAATCCGATGTCTGTCAAGACTTTCTTCAGCTTTGCCCCAAAATCTCCTTCCAGCGTCTCTACGACCGTAAATCGGCACTCTTCCCAGCATCATTGCACCGGACGGAATACTCTTGTCTGGCAGTCCGCCCTTCGGTGGTCGTAGCAACATCAACTGTCCAAAACCATTCCATGGGAATACGCATTTGCGATGTCAGCGCCGCAACAAATTGGACGCGCACCATGCAAGCAGCAAATTCAGCGCTTCCACCTCAGCGGCGGGGAAATCTGTCCTGATCTCTGAGTAGGACTGTTCCAAACCCTTTCTGGCGACGAGGCGACTCTCGTAGAGTGGTGTGTGATTCTTGCCTTCTCGCTTGAGGCGCTCATTCTTGTCTGCGTCTATCCACTGCGTTGGGATAGGACAGGTTTGCGCCCTTCTCGCAAGAGGTTTTGGAGAGCGGTTCCACTGACAACAGTGACTGCCATGAACTTCATCCACTTCTCCCACTCGACTCTTCTTGACACATCGAGTCCTTCTTGAACCTCCTTGCTTTCTCGCTCATAATCCAACGCCTATCCTCGCGCTTTCTTCTAGGCATCCTTGCTCAGTTGACCGCCTGATCTCTACCTTTCGTAGAAGTGTTGACGAGGTTGAAAAAGGAAGCTTTCTCACGAGCTCTCGGAGTCCGACCACTATAAGGACAAAACCCCAAACAGCCTTGTGGCGCTACGCAAAGAAACAGCCAAAATACGCTTCATGTTGGGCGCGACAGGCAAGGAATCAATCCTCTGAGGGTAATCGGCTCCAAAGTTGCTCCTAACACATTCACTGTGGGAGACGATGCAACTCCGGCATTGCGGAGCTGTTCCTCCCCGGCCGGGGTGCGATGCATGATCTGTACAACGACTGCCGGGCTTCAAAGTCCTGCCATGCCTGGCGATAACCCACGAATCGATACAAAGGCGATTTGGCGAACATCCGAGCGGGTCTGGATCCAAAACACGGCGCAAGGCCAACGGAACCCAGGCTCCTTGAAAGATCGTCCAAACGTCATCTTTTAGGGGCTGAGGGTGAAACCGCGGACATTGAACGTGAACCATCTGGATTTGGTGGGACCACATCCGTGTAAAGGTCGGAGAATCCTTTCCGGTATTCCGATACGTTGAAAAAGGCCAACATGGGCCTTGCGGGTCGCGTCCACGCCTGAACCTCTTGCTTCAGAACATCCGGCGCTGAGTTGCCCTAAGAGCTCTTCCGTCACACTTGGCGTCGATGCAAATCTGGTTGACGGGCTCGAGTAAATGAACTTACGTCACGTCTAGAATCATACCATTTTCCAAAATCGCTTGCTTGATGCCCCAGCTCACCAGCCCAGTGTCCTTTCTGTCCACGCGCTTGGCATTTAGCCCTTTTCTTTAACTCTGCCAGCCTTTGTCTCCTATCTTCAAGGCTGAGGTTTCCTCCACCATAGGACTTGCCAAATCCTTTCTTGGATTTGCGTTTTCCTCCACCCTTATAGGTGGGGTTGCCTTTTCCCATCATTGTTGTCGCCGGCAAGGTAAGGCCAGTTTCGTAGCTGAAATCATGGGCAAGAAACTCATGTGTCCCAGGTTCATCCCAGGTCTCTTCCATGCCATAGTAGGAACAATCCTGATGTCTATCGTCATAGTGCCAAGGTTCCGACTGGATGATGGCATGCCAGCCATGCTTTTACTGTCCTGTGGACACCATTCCAATCTTCCTTGGCCAGGTAGGCTCGCGACTTGCCTCCCTTCAAGCCTTTCCCTTTTCCTTTGAGGCCATCGGTGGATTCTCTCAAGGCAGGTTGTTTGATGAGTGCTTCAGCTACCACATCGAAATCCAAGAGCT